ATATTTATCAAGAGCAGTGTCTCTCCACATGACCATAGATTCATTATCTAGGAAAAAACCCATTATTCTTTTCAAACAATTTTTCCCTTGTTCCATGTACACAGTTTTTGTCGTTTGCTTTTTTCACTTAATGACCTGCCCAAGTCATTAAAGATTCTTTTTAACATTTGAATGATAGTCCATCCTCAGAATAAACTACAAATCAGTTAATTCTCTTTTATTGTTGATCATTCTGAGTATTGCCATCTTGTCTGGAATGACACTATGAAGGACATCTTTGTGCACGAAGCGTTTTCTGTGTTTCATACCGTGATCCTGGCTTTATATCCAAAAGTGAAATTATTGGGCCAAAGAGCGTCCACATTTCAGACTCTCCTCTCGCTGCCATGACTGGAGCGTGTTCTAAACACTCCGTACAGAATGGCTTTGGGTTGCTCACATCCATAGCGTGGACGGGATGTGCTCCCTGGTGTTGGGATGCTGACAGGGGGAAGCAGCTTCATCCTGAGGTGGCTGGGTGGAGGGGCCTGCCTGGGAGTCAGGTCGCCCGTGTGGATAGCCCGTGGTTCCTTCCCCGTGGGACCTGGGGGAGCTGCTCAGCTTCGTGGAGACTCGGTTTCCTCACCTGCAGAACGGGCATCTCAGTGACGCTGCCTTGGAGGCTCGTGGGGTGGAAGGAGGTGGTAGTACGGGCATGGCCCCGTGAGCGGCAGGTGGGGTGGCCTGAGCATGTGAGCGGAGTGCAAGTTCACGGTCTGGACACGAGGAGGGGCAGGGAAACCTCTCCCAGTCCTTTAGGGGATGGTGGATTTGGTCGGGGATTAAGAAGGCGACGGTCGGAGGTGACATCTGAGCCTCACCTCGAGGATAGTGTCGTTCACAAGGTGGGGCGGGGTCCTGCCTGGGACCAGGTTGCACTCAAGCCTGGACGTGTGGCAGGGGAGGGGTCTGTCTGGGGTTTCGTAGCCCCTGGCAGGACATGGCTTTCATGGAGGTTTTGACTCTGGGATTGCGAGAGTGGGGCTCCCCAGGCCAGCCTGGAGGAAGAAGGCTACAGGACAAGAGGGGAGGCCCGGCTGGATGGCTCTGCAGCGTGTGCTGGGCCGTGTCGGGGGGGTGTCTGCATTATGCGGGGCGGGGGAGTGCTGGATACAGGGTTTGGGAACTAGGACAACCACTGCTTTTCTAGAAGGGGTAACTTGTTTGGGATGGTTCATAACCACTGATTTAGGGGGTTCTTGAATTCAGGAGAAAGTGTGCTGTTATCTGGGGAGGAGACAGAAGGAGCATTGCGTTTGCTCATAACTGACTTGGGAGTGTCCGGAACACTCACATCGTGACAAATTCATGTCATACCAGTTGGAGCTGCTTCTTTGTGTGAGACACGGGACTGGCTCTGAAAACATGTGGGAAGGGGAAGGCATGACAAAGCCCAGGCTTCGGATGCTGTCCCCTGATGAGGCTATGACCAGCAGACCTGGGGAGGGGACATGGATTTGGGGGTCATAGGCTTGCACTGGGAGACTCCCGGAAGGGGCGCGCATGGGCATGAAAGAGCCCAGTGTTCGATAAGCAAGAGCCACAGGATGGGGCGGCCAGAGGCAGCCAGTGCACTGGCCCAAGGGCAGGAGGGTCAACACATACCATCCCCAGGAGCGTGGCTGGGACAGGAGGGACCTTGACGCTGCTTCCCCACAGGCGTGCTTGGAAGGGGGGCATCTGAGCCTGGGTCAGGGAAAGCAGGGAGGATCCTGGGCTTCACCTGAGAGCACACTGGGGTTCCCTCCCCACGAGTTCAGCAGGCCAGGCACAGCGGGGATCCCTCCCTGGAATACCATGGATGCAGGTACCCAGGTGGGGAAAAGCTCACTGAAAACCCATACTTCTTAGGAGGGTTTCCTTGTGGAAGAGGCTTGGGGCTGCTCTGTGTGGTTCCACCTGACACCCCAGTCATGCTCGCCTCGGGCCTGTGGAGTGGTCGGTGAAACTCATTTCGGCTCAACCCAGGAGCTTCCGGGTGTAGACTGGACTGCCTCAGGAGGAAGGCGGCCTGGGATGGAGTGTGGTCTGATCACCCCCCAGTCGGTCAGGGGAGGGAATGCCCGAGGGGGCAGGCAGATGCCAACTTAGTTGTGTCTGTGCCATTCCAGACTTGGAGAGGCCACCTTTGCGTCTGAGGGCCAGCGGGTACTGCACAAACCCTAGTGCTGTTACAGGGTGTTTCCTGGCTCTGGGCTCCCAGAGCCCAGACAGAAGTCCTTTCTTTATTCAGCTCACATGGATGGGTGCCCGCTGGGGTGTAGATAGTGGGCAGTCCCGCTTCCATCCCGTGAGGGAGATAGACCAGCTGACAGGTGACACGGGGGACAGACCCACAGTGATGGGCCTCCCAGGCTGAGCCAAATGGGTTCAGATAACACCTTTCCTTGAGGGCCACTTGAGTGGCTCAGTTGGTCAAGTGGCTGCCTTCAGCCTGGGTCGCGGTCCTGGGCTTCTGGGATGGAGCCTCTGGTCAGGCTTCCCACTCAGGGTGGAGCTGCTTCTCCATCTCCCTCTGCTGTTCCCCTGCTTGCGCTCTCTCTCTTCAAAAGAACAACAAACACTTCTTTGAGATTAGTTTTAATCACTTGCTAGGGCACGAATGTTGCTTTCACAGAAGTGGACAGACCAAGTCTCGGAGGTGACCTCCTCCCGTGGACGCTGGTTTGGGAGCTGCCCGAGGGTGAGTTACCAGAGCTGCTGGGGGACCTGGCACGCGCATCTTCGCACGGGTTCCGCCTGCCCGGTGCCTCCGAGCCTTGGCTGTCCCCAGCGGAGCCCACAGAGGTGGACCTCGGGGCCGGCCCAGCTTGGGAAGAGGCAGCGAGGCTGCCTGGGCCCCTTGGCTGAGGACCTGAGTGTCGAACCTTCCAACCCTGCACCGCCCTAAACCTTCAATAATTATAGACAAAATGAAGATGACATTCAACTCGGCAGTCTCTTCCCTTTTTTTTTTAGTTTTCTGAGCGTTATAGCTCCCAGGAGGGCGGTGGGATGTGTGCAGCGCATCCAGATGCTGGCGCGGGGGTGAGGCCTCTGCGGCGCCGGCGGTGATTTTGCGCGCGGGCAGCGAGGTGCTGAGGGCGTCGGCCGCCCTCGCGCGTGGACCGCTGCTCGCTGCGGGCTCGGCTGTGAGCCGCGCGAACGCGCATGCTCAGCCCGCGGGTCTTCCGCGCTCAGGGGCGGGAACCGGCCCACGCCGTGCGCTGCTGAGAGGCCGACGCAATGACCAGGGCGTGGGATTCCCTGCGCGCGCACGGGCGCGTGCGCGCGTGCGTCCTCCGGGGACTGTGTGTGCTCGTGCTCGGAGTGCGCGCCGCCCCACCCCCAGACCCTCCGTTTGCAGGTGCTGGTCTTCCCAGGTCCCCTCCTCCTGGCCCGGCGTCCGGCCCGTGGGCCGGCGTGTTCTCCGTCTCCTTCCTGCGGTTTCTGGGGACGCGTGTGCTCTCAGCCTGGTTCCCCTAGGATGGGGCTCTGATAAGGTGATAATGAGTGACCCTATTTAATGAGACACCCCTCTGGCCTTATAGCAGTGCGTTTTTCTGGGGGCTTCCTGGAAAATGTCTTAGCCCCAGATTTCCCAAGGAGCGCATGGAACACTCGTTTGGGTAGTTGTTTCCTCAAAAACAAAAATTAAAAATAAATAAATTCACGTTGGTCAAATAAGAGGTGGTGCATGCCGTAAGCTCCCTTGGGGACTTGACAAGACCGGTCACCTGTTAAAGAATCTGAAATGTCCTGCAGTCAAAACCAGGTTTCATCTAAGGATTTATGCACCCTCCAGACCTCTCATTCACGTGACAGTTGTCCGTGCCCTGTGGCTTCCTCTGGGAGGTGGCGCCTTCGACTCCAGAAGTCGCTGCATGTGCAGCCTGCTGTAGGCCGTCAGAGCGAGTACTATAGGCTCTGTTAAAATTTAAAAAAAAAAAAAAAGTTTTTATTGTGGGTAAAACATTCATCACGTGAAAGTTAACATTTTAACCATTTTCAAGTGGAAAGTTATGTGGCGTCGAAGACTTTCACGCTGTTGTACATCCGTCCCCGCCGTCTTTCTGCGGAACGTTTCCTCTTCCAGGGCTGAAACTGTCCCCGTGAACCAACACTTCCCCATTGCCCTCCTTCAGCCCCTGCAAACCACACTCTGCTCTCTGTCCCTGCGAATGTGACTCCTTATCCTAGGTGCTTCCTGTAGGTGGAATCCTACGGTACGTGCCCTCCTCTGCCCAGTGCATCTCCCTGCCACGCCTTCAGGTTTTTCCTCGCTGTAGTGCGGGTCAGGTTCCTAACTTAGAGGCTGAATACTATTCCACATGTTTAGTCCCTCCGTTCATTTGTCGGTGGACACTTGGGTTATCTACACACTTTGGTGCTTATAAATAATGCTGCTTTGTACAACTGTCTACTGTCCCTGTGCAGGTGATGTCCACTCTGTCCGGGCAGGGGGCTGGAAGTGGTATATTTTGTCCTTCTTTTTAGGGAAGACCAGAGTACTTTCATCGTGTGTCCTTGTGGAGGCTTTTTATTTATGGAGACCATAGGATACTGTCTTTGGACTGTCTTGCCCTGCAAGTTGACAGGTCCCACCTGATGGGGAGGCATGACGGACCCGCCTGTCACTTAGGGAAGGAACAGCCTCTGGGAGGAGGTGGCCGGGCTCCCCCTCGGGCCCCGCTGTGGCGGCCAAGGTGATGTTTTCAGGAAGGGGGCAGACAGAAACTGGCCCTTTAGTGGTGTTTCCTTGGCTGACAGTGTGTTTGCTCAGGAGGAGGGGGGTATCATCCTGCTGGAAACCTTATTCCCCCAGGAGCCTCAGAGTGGGTCATTCCTTAAAGTGGGGGGAGACTTCCCGCCCAGGCGCTTGGCTGAGAAAACATCTTTTTAAAGATCATCTAACTGCTGGGGAGGCCGTGTCCTTGAAGATGATTTATTTTCCCTGACTGTGTTTCATTTTTCTCTCCTAGCTTATGTTCCTGAGGAAGAACTGAAGGCAGCAGAAATAGATGAAGAGAACGTGGAGGAGGACGGGCTGTCTCTGGACATCCCGGAAAGTGACTATGTGTGCAATGAGGACCCCGAGATCAAGGAAGCTCAGAGCTACCAGAACTCCCCCGTCAGCTCCGCGACAAACCAGGACGCTGGCTACGGGTCGCCCTTCAGTGAGAACAGCGACCAGCTCGTCCACTTCAAAAGCTCTTCCTCCAGAGAGGAGAAGGAGGACCCACAGGGCCCGGACAGCGTCTCCTACCCCCAGGACAGCTTGGCCCAGATCAAGGCTGTGTATGCGAACTTGTTCTCCGAGTCCTGCTGGTCCAGCCTGGCTCTGGATTTGAAGAAGTCGGGTTCGACCCCCAGCAACAACGATGCGGGCCAGAAGGAGGGATCCACCCCTGCCCCCACACCCCCCGCCTGCACGGCGGGCGCCACAGGCACCACGGCCAGCACCCCCAGCTCAGGCTCGGGCTCGGGCTCGGGCTCCGGCAGCGGTGGCAGCGGCGGCTCGGGGTACGACTGGCATCAGGCCGCGCTGGCCAAGACGCTGCAGCAGACGTCCTCGTATGGGCTGCTCCCCGAGCCCAGCCTCTTCAGCACCGTGCAGCTGTACAGGCAGAACAACAAGCTGTATGGCTCGGTGTTCACGGGCGCCAGCAAGTTCCGCTGCAAGGACTGCAGCGCCGCGTACGACACGCTGGTGGAGCTGACCGTGCACATGAACGAGACGGGGCACTACCGCGATGACAACAGGGACAAGGACTCCGAGAAGACCAAGCGGTGGTCCAAGCCCAGGAAGCGCTCGCTGATGGAGATGGAAGGCAAGGAGGACGCCCAGAAGGTGCTCAAGTGCATGTACTGCGGCCACTCCTTTGAGTCCCTGCAGGACCTGAGCGTCCACATGATCAAGACAAAGCATTACCAGAAAGTGCCTCTGAAGGAGCCGGTGCCAGCCATCACCAAGCTGGTCCCTTCCACCAAGAAGCGTGCCCTGCAGGACCTGGTGTCCCCGTGTTCGCCGGAACCCGCGGGGCTTGGTGCCGACGCCGTGCTCAGCGAGGTGGCCAAGGACCAGAAGACCGGCAACCCCTACGTGACGCCCAACAACCGTTACGGCTACCAGAACGGCGCCAGCTACACCTGGCAGTTCGAGGCCCGCAAGGCGCAGATCCTCAAGTGCATGGAGTGCGGGAGCTCGCACGACACGCTGCAACAGCTCACCGCCCACATGATGGTCACCGGCCACTTCCTCAAGGTCACCACCTCGGCCTCCAAGAAGGGCAAGCAGCTGGTGCTGGACCCGGTGGTGGAAGACAAGATCCAGTCCATACCCCTGCCCCCCACCACGCACACCCGGCTGCCCGCTGCCCACATCAAGAAGCAGCCCGACTCCCCTGTGGGCACCATGCCCTCAGAGGACAAGAAGGAGCCCGAGAAGGACAAGGCGCCAGCGGTGGGTGAGGCAGACAAGAAGGTCAAGGAGGAGAGCGAAGACACCCCCGAGAAGTTCGAGCCCACTGCCCTGTATCAGTACCTCCGCGAGGAAGACCTGGACGACAGCCCCAAGGGCGGGGTGGACATCCTCAAGTCCCTGGAGAACACAGTCTCCACGGCCATCAGCAAAGCGCAGAATGGTGCGCCCTCGTGGGGCGGCTACCCCAGCATCCATGCGGCCTACCAGCTGCCCGGCGCCGTGAAGCCGCTGCCCGCCGTGCAGAGTGTGCAGGTGCAGCCGTCCTATGCCAGCGGCGTGAAGTCGCTGGCCCCGGAGCACAGCGCGCTGCTGCACTCCCCGGGGAGCCTCACGCCGCCGCCACACAAGAGCAACGTGTCCGCCATGGAGGAGCTGGTGGAGAAGGTCACCGGCAAGGTCAGCGTGAAGAAGGAGGAGCGGCCTGCCACCGACAGGGAGAAGGGCTCCCCGGCCAAGGCCGTGTCCCCCGTGGCCAAAGAGAATAAAGACTTTCCCCGCGCAGAGGATGGCGGCAGCGGCAAGGCCACGCACAAGAAGGGCCCGGAGGTGGAGGCAGGGAAGGCCAAAAAGGAGGGTGTGCTGGACACGCACACCCCAAACGGCACCGAGCCTCTGAAGGCCAAAGTCACCAACGGCTGTAATAACCTGGGGATCATCACAGACCACTCAGCGGAGCCCTCCTTCATCAACCCGCTCAGCGCGCTGCAGTCCATCATGAACACGCACTTGGGCAAGGTGTCCAAGCCCGTGAGCCCATCGCTGGACCCGCTGGCCATGCTGTACAAGATCAGCAACAGCATGCTGGACAAGCCGGTCTACCCCGCCGCCCCCATCAAGCAGGCGGACGCCATCGACCGCTACTACTACGACAACAGCGACCAGCCCATCGACCTGACCAAGGCCAAAAGCAAGCCCCTGGTCTCCAGCGCCGCCGACCCCGTGGCGTCCCCTCTCCGGGAGAGCGCCCTCATGGACATCTCTGACATGGTGAAGAACCTCACGGGCCGGCTGACCCCCAAGTCCTCCACGCCCTCCACCGTGTCCGAGAAGTCGGATGCCGACGGCAGCAGCTTCGAGGAAGCACTGGACGAGCTGTCGCCTGTGCACAAGAGGAAGGGACGCCAGTCCCACTGGAACCCCCAGCACCTGCTGCTCCTGCAGGCGCAGTTTGCCTCGAGCCTGAGGGAGACGCCGGAGGGTAAGTACATCATGTCGGACCTGGGCCCGCAGGAACGCGTGCACATCTCCAAGTTTACCGGGCTGTCCATGACCACCATCAGCCACTGGCTGGCCAACGTGAAGTATCAGCTGAGGAGGACAGGGGGTACCAAGTTCCTGAAGAACCTGGACACAGGGCATCCTGTTTTCTTTTGCAACGATTGTGCCTCTCAGTTCAGAACTGCTTCTACGTACATAAATCACCTAGAAACACACTTGGGCTTCAGCTTGAAGGATCTCTCCAAGCTGCCACTAAATCAGATTCAAGAACAGCAGAATGTTTCAAAAGTCCTGGCAAACAAAGCCCTGGGCCCGGTCGGGGCTGCCGACGACGATGGGGGCTCCACATTCCAATGCAAGCTTTGCAACCGGACTTTCGCTAGCAAGCACGCAGTCAAACTGCACCTTAGTAAGACCCATGGCAAGTCCCCGGAGGACCACCTGATCTATGTGACGGAGCTGGAGAAACAGTAGCGTCCAGGAGCGCGAGGGACCGCGGCACATTGCACTACACGTCGTCTTTGGACTGCACTAGGCCTGGGCTGAGCCTCCGAAATCAGCCTTCCCTTTGTTGCCGAGCTGGCTGTCTGGACCTTGGTTTTTTCTTACACATATTTTGTAGTTATATTTATATGCTCTTTGTCCGATTGTGCATGTTATTTTTCTTTTTCTGTGAGTCAAAGTCTGACCTTTATTTTCAACATCTGTTCTTGATGTTAAGCTATCTTTTGTAGGAAATAGTGGGCACACTACTCAGAGACATGCATTTAGCAGAGAAGAAAGACACAAATAACAATGATAAAAAGACATCCTAAAATTACAAAGTTGCCATGACAATAAAGGTCATAGAACCTGGTAGTGTCAAATTTAACCCTTTGAGGACTGCAATTGCATTTCTGTGCCTTTCACTCAAAAAAAAAAAAAAAAAAGAAAAAAAGGCTTAAAGGCATTTCATTCAGATCAAAAGCTGTGTCAGACACAAAACTTATTTAATAATTAAAAAAATGAGCTTTTATATGCAGAACTGGTTTGTGAAGGTAACATGCATGCAGCTGTCGGAAGATAGAAAGTTGTCTAGGAGTCGTGAGGTTAGGAAGCCACAGCTTTACACATTGAAAATGAAACAAAACAAAAAAAACCACAAAAAAACCCACCACCATCACCACTACCACCATCACCACCACCACCACCACCAAACACCCCAGTTGCCACTATGCCCAAACCCTCTGGATGCTGAAAAAAAAAATGCCACTTTTGGCAAAAAAAAGTATGCAAGCTATTATTTAAAAATGTGTAAAAATGCTATTTCTTTTTTTCCTGTAAAATACTGCGGTTTATAGTTATTTACAAATGTAAGCTTTGGTATAAGCTGACCTTTCTATAGCGTGCTGCATTGGTAAATGAAAAAAAACATGGGGCAAACGTTGGAGTCCTTTCCTTGTAAATTGCCAGCATCAGCTTAAAAACCCCTCTATGTTACATATCGTACCATTTTAATCTATTCAACTTTCTTTGTACCTTCTGGCTGTATGCTTTCTCTTTTAACTTTTTATATTGTCATTTTATATTAAATTTCTGTGTATATAATGTAAAACCACAATTTTTGAATAAAATTTAGTTCCTGCAGCTTGATTTAAATAGAGAAGTTTTACTGGTACCTGCATCTTTCCAGATGCATGTATATCAGACAAAAATAAATAAATGGAAACAAAGCAAGCAATGCACTATTAATTATACATTTTGATGTTCTATCATTAATATTGTACAGTACATTTTGGTTCACACAATTAAATCCACTGTTTTCTCAAATGTAAAATAAACCCACAAGCAGTTCTTGATTTACATAGATTGTCGTGTCGTCATTATATTGCCTTCGAGAAGTCATTTCAGCAGCAAGAGGTGTTGCTCATGTGGTCAACCAACAACAAGTTGATTCGGAATTCCCTCTCCGCGGTTTGGATGCCGACATGCTCCGTTCATATACGTATTGCATTTTTAAAAAATAATCATTAAATGTGTTAACTCTGCCAGGGGCCACGGATGACGGAGTTGAGCCCCTGAGTGCTGGATGGCTCTTCTGTGTAGACACGGACCGAGGGGCCTCATCCAGAGGACCCTTGTGGACCATTTGGAAATGTCCACAGGTATCCGTAGTGCAAATCCAGGGGCTCAGGGGTGAGGGGCAGAAGCACAGTTCTTGCTCTGGGGTCCTTGGAACTGGTTCTGTGTCACTCCAGAGAGGAGCCCCTGATTTCTGTCCATGACCCTGCATGGTTTTGTGCTTCCAGGTGGGGTCCGTGTGCCTTCCGCAGATCCCCCCGGCGCACCGAGGGCTCCACGGAGGAGAGCACCAGGACTCCTGGCATGTGAGCGGGCGACTCCTGAGCCCCCCTCTCCAGGGGCTGACAGCTTCCGTCTGCACTGGGAGGAGCACTGACGTCATGGCCCCAGCCCCTTTCCTCTCCAAAAGTGCTTCCTGACACAAGCGGGAAAATGTCTTGTTCTGCCTTTTGCTTCAGTTTTCCATAAAATTGTGTCCTGAGAAATGTTCAAAGGCATGGCGCTCGGTTCAGAAGCAGCTGAGCGCTGTCCAGGATGGCTCGATGGCTCCGTTTCCGCGGACGACTGGGCGAGGGGTCATGGCAGGTCCGACACCATATTGACACAGTCTTTTGCTAATGCTCAGAGAGCCAGGGAGGCTCGCCACAGTTGTCCCCACTTTTGTCATTGGTAATTAGCTCTGTCTTCAGGAGCTTTGGCCATTTAGACATTCGGTTCAAGTACTGGGTGATTATGTGCAAGGTGTGACAGAGAAGAAACACGAGGCCTATGGCAGGAGATGGGGTCTTTGCATAACAATCCTTTGAAGTCATATCTGTTTCACCACGGGGCCCCGGATGCATGGTTCAGCAATTTCACCCTGTGGCAGATGTCGGAAGAGCAGGTGCGGCGGTGTGTGGGGAGGTCAGGGGTCGAGGCAGAGTCCACTGGGGTTCGTCCCCACGGGCAGCGGCTAAGACATTTGGGAGCTGCTCGCACTCGAGTTCTGACCGCTGGGGCTTGGGCACAAAATTTGGGTTTTCCTTTCTTCTTCTTCTTCTTTTTTTTCCTAATTCATAATCATACACTTATCTTGTCACCCACCCTTGTCGTCATGGCCCAGAGGATGGGGCGTTAAGTTTGTCACTTGTATGTTTGCCTGCACACGAGGAGCCCAGCACAGTCACTACCCAAGGTCACATGGCTTGTGATTCACAGAACTAGGGCTCAGAGCCCAGGAGGCTTTGCCAGGCCTAGCCCTCCATCACCTGCTTTGATCTGCCCCCGGGTGGGACCTGCCCCAGGTGGACCTGCCCCGGGTACCTTGGTGAGGGTGTGGCAGTGAAGGGCTGGGCATCTCTGGGCTGGGGACTCCAGTAGGGCTGATGGGTCAGATGACACCGATGCACAGAATGGGGACAGGCCCAGAGCAGACGTGCACTCTTCAAATCACCTCCCAGCACAGCCCACATCCCACCACAAAATGGGACAGCTCTGTCTTCTGTGGATCTGATAAGTAAGTTGAAATCGTGTTTGTTGTGAGTTTGTAGCAAGTTCAATCGAATAGAGGTCTACTTAGTAATACAGAAACTCGGTTTGTATAAATACAGAAAAGGGATGGACTAATCCCAGGAAGAAATTGGCTACCTCTGACTTGAGGGTTTCCTTACAGACATTTCTGCTTCCTTCATCTGCGTTTGAATAAACGTGCCCATCCCTCCTTCATCTCTTGTGTCCCTGGAAGGGGCTCCGCACGTGGCATTATGTTCTCTCCATTTCTCTGCCCTCCTCTCTTAACCCAGGGAGCAGGTCTGTATCTTCTGCAGCAGGTAGGCAAAGAGCCCCAAGCAGCCTGGGTGAGCTGACCACTCTCCCAGCTGGCAGGGGTGTGGAGGTCTGGCGGGAAGGCATGTGACATGGACGGCTGGTGTTTCTGCCCGGTTAGAAATTCCTATTTGCAGCCTGAGCCTTGGGTATAATAGCGAATCCAATATTATACCTGTAAATGTGGGACTTTTAAAAGTTTGAGATCTTCCTCAGAATGTGGTTTGGGTGAGGATGGCCCTTTGTCATTTTATCAATATTTAAAAAGATAGAAAACCCGGAAAGCAATGATAGACAATAGTTTATCTAGGGGAAACAAGCTTTTAGGCATTGTAGGTGAAAAATGACTAAAAACGTTAAGATTCATGTCCTTGCATTCCTACATTTGATAATCTTTGAAAAGCTGTTAACATTCGTGCCAATCATGCTTAAACTCCTTCTGAATTCTCAGAAACTTGTGCGCGCACACAGGCTTCTCTTTTCCAAATTCTTTGTTATGGACTTTATTATTATTTCTCTGAAGATGATGGGAACCACCAAAATCCACTTACTGAATTGTAAACTTAAAAAACACCAAAGGATAACATTTAGACAGCATTTGTACTTTTTACATAACTATATTCTCATACTAAGTCACCGCAGAAAACTTGCAATACAGAAAAAAGAAATAAAAGTTAACTCTTATCTTCATCTAAAAGAAAATCACTGTTAGTATTTTAATGCTAAATCTTTTCTCCGTGCTTCTCAACACAGAGATCATGCCCATACTCTTGTATTTTGCTTTCTTTGCCTGGTAGGACATAATGCATATTTTCCCATTTTATCAAAACTTTCTAATCTTACTGAGATGGACTATACTTATCAATTCTCTGTTAGAATTTTAGAAAACATCATCAGATTCCGCTCAAGTTTTCACTATTACGAATGAGAACAAAGAACACTCCACTCATTTCTGATTTTCCTTTTCAAAAAAGAAAACAAGATTTACTTGTTTGTTTTGGAGAGAGAGCACAGGAGCAGGAGCAGGAGCAGAGGGAGAGGAAGAGAAGCAAACTCCTGCTGAGTGTGCAGCCTGACATGGGGTTCAGTCTCAGGACCCTGAGATCATGACCTCAGCTGAAATCAAGTGTGATGCTTAACTTACTGAGCCACCCAAGCCCCCCTCAGATTATTCCTTTAGAACAAATACCTAGAACTGATATTTCTGTGTCACAGTGGGACTTTGTGCCCAAATGGTCCACAAGAGAGTCTGTACCAGCTCATACTCCCACTGCCATGAGAATGACCCCTTCTCCACATGGACCTCTTCTGGGTGATCACGAGGATTTTTTTTTTTTTTTCAGTTTAAATTTCTGGCTAGTTTCTCTAATTGGCCAATGGAATCTTGATGTTTTAATTTATAATGCTTTTAATGTTTATTGCCCATTGATGTTATTTAAAGGACGGATGGTTTAGGAACGTACAAATCTGAGGAGTATCTGCACATGAATTATGATTTCATTTAATTGAGTGGACAGTACACGTATTTTACAGATGACACATCACGGAGGAGGGAAAAGAGCCAGCTGAGGACTGTGGCTCCCCCCAGCTCAGGGCTGGAGCACCACGGCCGTCCTCCCGGCCACACTCCGTTCAGCATGCCCTCCCGCAGGCAGGCAAACCATGCCTAGTGATGCCAGTAAATAATGTACCTAGACTCTCTTTAAGCTGCCTGACTTGTAAATGGAAGAAAAGATTCTGTGGTTTCCATTACTACGGTATAATTCATATCATTGGGGAAACAAATGGCATCTCAAAGGAAAGAGGATGGCCCCAGGAAGATGAGACTTGTCACCTGGGGTGACCGCACACCATGGAAACCTGCGTTGGACGTTAAAAGGACAGGGAGAAGAACCCCTTCTAGGGCCTGAATCGGGGAGCCCTCTCTCACGTGAGCTTGCTCCGGAGCTGAGATCTGAAGCCTCCCAGGTAGGTTTTGGACGGAAGCAAGCAGAGGCTGCAGCAAGTCTGTGAGGCTGGCTCAAGGAAGGCGTGTCGCCGGGACGCTGACCCGCTCAGGCTGCTCTTCGGAGGGCGGAGAGCAGCGTGTGCTCACCAACAGCTGTTCAGGAATCGATCCGTAACCAATCGTTATTATTCCTAAGTGACACCAAAGTATCCATGATTTTTATCGGACCAGTGTAAAGATGGTCCGATGATGGGCTACAGGGTCACTGACTTCCACCCGTTGGATGGGCCATAGAAGCACGGGGCTCCCATGTCTTCATGTTTTGT